GAGAGAGAGAGAGAGAGAGAGAGAGAGAGAGAGAGAGAGAGAGAGGCTGAGGGTGTGCGCCTCATGGGAGGAAAAGCAGAAGAGAGAGAGGAAGGGGAGGAGTTTTTCCTTAGAATGAGACTTTTAGGTCAGGACTAGGGCGGTGCCAAGGGGTGGGATTTCAAGGGGCAGATCAGAATATCAACAATGAACCACTAAAGAATGTTGTGGGACAGCCTCAGTTGTCCAACCATTCTGCCCTGTATTACTATCTGAGCCTCTCATTGCTGATAGGCAAATAGGACAGAAATAATGGATTTTTTTTTTTTTGCACCACCAATGCACAGATCCCTTTATTAGATGATCTCTCTGCTTTGAATTGATGTTGAGAAATAGCTGTGTTTAGTTTAAGAGCAACTTGTAAGTTTCTTGTAATCTTAAAAGCTGCTATTTTACTATTACATTTTGATGTGTGTGCCAGGCTAGGTTGACATTACTTTATTTATTCCTTGAGATGTTATGAAGTAGATTATTGATATGCTCATTTGCCTAAAAGTTTTAGAGGTGATATGACCTGCAGAAGGTCACAGTTAGGAATTGGCAGAGGCAGACTTTGAATCAGGTCCATTGGGCTTCAAAGCCCATGTGACTGACCTACAGACTGCCTTCCAGTATCAGCTAGTTCTGTGCTGAATAGCGAGCTATATCAGGACTAACTTTTGTATTTCAACCAAGTTTTCAAAAACTCCATATAAAAAGTTTCATTTAATGTTCATAATGTCTGAGAGGGTAACTTAGTTATGTTGTATTTAGATACAAAGAAGGGTAAGTAGTACATGGATACAAGAAAGCCAGATTCCAGATGTTCATAAGTCAGAGAGGGTAAATTAGTTGTGTTTATATTTAGATAAAAAGCCCTCTGAATGTGGGTGACAGTTGTGTGGCTTGGGCAGTTGTGAGGCCACTGGCAGTGGGACCAGGATTATCCCTAGTGTATGAACTGGCTTTTTGGTGCCCATTCCCTAAGGAGGGATACCTTGCTCAGCCCCCATTGAGGGGCTTGGTCCTGCCTCAGCTTCATATGCCAGACTTTGTTGACTCTCCATGGGAGGCCTTACCTTCTCTGAGGAGTGGATGGGGGGCGAGGGGTAGGGTGAGAGGAAGGAGGGCAGGGAGGGAGAACTGTGGTTGGTATGTAAAATGAATAAAAAATTTAAAACAAGCTGGGTGGTGGCAGCACACACACTTGGGAGGCTGAGCTAGGAGGATCTCTTGTGAGTTCAAGGCCAGCCAGGTCTACAAAGCGAGATCCAGGACAGGCACCAAAACTACACAGAGAAACCCTGTCTTGAAAAGAAAAAATTAAAACAAAAAATATTTAGATACAAAGAAAGGTAACACATGCATGTAAAAAAAAAGCCAGATTCCAAACGTAGTTCTTCTCTCGTTCCTCGTTCTCTTCACTACACACTACCTGTACTGTGTTGTCCGATACAGAGCAAGGGGTGCAGGGTAGGAGCAACACCCCTTCTCCATTTTACTTCTAATAGCCTGTGTAGCCCGACTGGCACTGAGGTGTTTGTTCATCTGTGTGACAAATATTGAGCACTGGTACATGCCAGGCTCTGGAAATAAAAATTAGGAACAAAGGCCATCTGGGTTCCTGAACCCAGCCAGTTTGACACTCTCAAGTGGCAAAGACCATTTCCCAGGGACAGGTGTCACAAAGAAATGGGGTGGGAATACGGAGAGAGTGAATTTAGTCAGAAAAGACATTTAAAAAAAATTATTTTGACGGTGTCTCACCATATAACCCTGGCTTACCCAGAATTCAGTTCGTAGACCGGGTTAGCCTTGAACTCACACATCCACCCGCCTCTGCCTCCCAAATGCTGAGTTAAGCGCCCGCGCCACCACTTCGGACCCTGAGGGGGGCACATTTTGTTGCTGTTGCTTTGTTTCTCCAGCACTGAGGATTGAACCGGGGGGACTGAGCGAATGCCGGGAAGTGCTGCACCACTGAGCTCGGGATAAATGCAAAAACAGACACCCGCAGAATTCATTGTTTTGCCAGACAGCAACAGTATCTGTGGCCACTAGACGGGGCGACTCTAGACCCCTGCACTTGACTGTCGACAAAGCCCGAGAGCGGACGAACCGTCCCCGCGCTCTTCCAGCCAGTCCTCTTGACCTTGCCTTTGCCGTCAGGGTCACCGCCCTCCCCCACCCCCACATACACCCCATCACCGCTCCCTCGCTACTCCTTCCGGACACGTCCGGCCTGCGCAAGCGCAACAGGAATCGCCTGGCCCGGTGGCTCGCGGAGGCCACCCCGAGACGCATGCGCGCCCCGCCCACAAGCCCCGCCCCGGGCGCCCCTCACGAGCGCCTGCCGTTTCTTTGGGCGGGGCCGTGGGCGGGGCCTGGGCAGGCGGCGCGCCGCGGGCGGGCTAGTGAAGCCGGCGCCCCCGACACGTGATCTGGAACCGGCTGTGTCGCTTGGTGGCTCGGTCTGTCCGTCCGTCCGCGGGTGCCATCATGGCGGACGCGGCCAGTCAGGTGCTCCTGGGCTCCGGTCTCACCATCCTGTCCCAGCCGCTCATGTACGTGAAAGTGCTCATCCAGGTATGAGTCGTCGCCCTGCCCTTCCCCGCCTGCGTCCCGTCGGGTCGCCACCGCCCTCCGCGCCCGGGGCTGGGCTCTCTGCGTCCCGGGCCTTCACCCTCCCGGCGGTGCTGCCCTTTCCTCCTCCCCTCAGGGACAACTTCCACGGCCTCGCGGCCCCTCTCGGGAACATCCCGGGGCTCGCCCCGGGCGGGCCCGCTCCCTCTCTGCAGCCAACGGCCACCCTGCCCTTCCTCCCCCGGTGGCTCTTCTCAACTTTGTTTTTCCTGCCCCGAGGTTGATCCTGGCCGGTCGCCACCGCGGGCTTCCCAACCCTTTCCCTGCCGCCCCTCCGAAATTTACATTCACCTCACCTCGTCCGCTCCTTCTCAAACGCGAGACGTGACATAGTCACGGAAGGACAAATGTGAGAGTCTAGGGAAGCCAACGTCTCGTGTTTCTATCCGCCTTTTCTTTCTATGTTGCTGTTTCTACTTCTATTCCGCCGAGAGGTTTTAACACCAGATACGCGGATAGACACAAGGAGCTCATTGAGAAGTGATAATGAAGTCAGATTTCCTAAGGACCCATTGAGCAGCTTGCACGGCAGCAGCCCCATGGGGTTCGTGACAATGAAAATCACGTTGGTCAGAGCTGGAAATCAGTTCTGTTTAGAGTTTAGAGAGTTTAAACGGAACATCACACTCCCAGATATCTCTCTTGCCTCCCTTTAGTTTACACTCTAATCTGCTATAAACTAGTTAGTTCGTGGTATTTTATATTCATGGGTGAGGAGGCCTACTTTTAGCTGGTGATCGTATTTTCAGTTGCTGTTCTAAGTTTCCCTGTGATGAGCAGGCCGTTTTTTAAGCATTTATCCACAGTTGACATACTTACCCTATGCCTTGTGTCTCGGAAGGAAGCAGGCCTTAGAATCCCTGTCCTCACTGTTTACCATTCTGAAAAAAAATGCAAGACTCTGGGATGGACCTCGTTTTTTGAATTGTTACTCATACAAATTATGGCCAAGTTGACTGGTATATGTTCAGATTTTCGTGTAAAAGTTGTGAAACCGAAAAAAGTGAAATCTTTGTCTAAAACAGAGAGGCACATTTGGGGCTAAATTGCATGAGATGAGTGACAGCATTTTGCAGAACATGTATGACCTCACTATTCAATAGATTTCAAAAGGACAGTGTTTTTTAGTGACATTCAGTGCTCTTACCTCAACAATTTGATACCCTAAATTCTGATTTCACAATATCTGTGTGTTGCCAAGTATCTCAGGGGGTTGGTGAAATTCCCAAATACTGTTTTCAGAGTTGCATGGTCGCTCTTTTCAGTAAGTCCAGAGGGGGAGTTTTATTAGCACAGATGAAGGAACTGCAACAATAGAGAACCCAAACTGTCCTACTGTATTTTTTTTCTCTCAAGTATCCCTTTGGCACTACAATTCCTGAATATATTGCGTAAATAAAATGGCAATCATTAATTTTTATGACCTTCTGTATATTGTTAATGAGTCTGTACATTTAACATGGACTTAGCTTGTAATTATTTTCATAAGTGAATTACCTAGCTGTATACATTTGCCTTTTTTGTCCAGGCAGGCAGTTGATGATGGCTCAGTGAATATTTTCTCATTTTATTCAAACATAAAAAATGTAAAGCTGGGTGGTGGTGGCACATGCCTTTAATCCCAGCACTCAGGAAGCAGATGCAGGTGGATCTTTGTGAGTTCGAGGCCAGCCTGGTCTACAGAGCTAGTTCTGGGACAGCCAGGGCTACACAGAGAAACCCTGTCTCAAAAAACCAAAAAAGAAAAAAAAATTGTCAGCCTTATCAGTAAACTAGGCTTTCCTGAAACAATGGTTTCCTTGTTCTATTTTCAGTTTGATAATCTTAGTTAACATGGTTTACTCTGTAGACTTCAACTCAAAGGGCAGTTTGGAGTTTATTGAACCTAGTCTTAATCTATACAACAGGACAAGAGACTGATAAGGGTGGTACTTCACCAAAGCCTTAAATGTAAACTGCATTTTTATTTGTAAAAATTATAGGGCTAAGAAGTTCGCTTGCTGATAGAGACATGGAGCATAAGGATGGACATGGGGTTCAATTTTCAGCACCAAACACAAAAAACATTGAGCCTTATTTTCTTTTTTCAAGACCTTGCAGTCCAAGTATCCTTGGGGTTTTGCTTAGTGTTGATGCATTCCTTTGTTTTTAAAGGTGGGATATGAGCCTCTTCCTCCAACAATAGGACGAAATATTTTTGGGCGACAAGTGTGTCAGCTTCCTGGTCTCTTTTGTTATGGTAGGTGCCTTTGATTTATTTGGGATGGATGACATTGAAGACTGATGGGCTGGAGTAACTGGAGGAAAATACGTAGAAGGCCTACTGCCTTGAAATTTCTTGAAATGGTGTTCTTGGACCAGAACCTAAATCTCTGACTTGTGTTCTTAGCTCAGCACATTGCAAGCATCGATGGAAGGCGTGGGTTATTCACAGGCTTAACTCCAAGACTGTGTTCGGGAGTCCTTGGAACTGTGGTCCATGGGAAAGTTTTACAGGTAAGAGGAAATCAGTTGATGTTCTCATACCTTTTGGTTGCCTTTTATGCACAATTTATTACATTGATGAAGAGCAATTTCAAAGATAAACGTAAAACCTGCCATTTTTCTCTTGAAAGACATTTTCTCTGTATTGATTAACTGATTAACTGATTGATGGAAGACAGGATTTCTCTGGGAAGCATAGACTGGCCTCGGACTTGCTTAGTAGCCTAGGCTGGCCTTGAATTTGATTCTGGCTTCTGAGTGCAGAGATCATGAGTGGTTGCCCACACGCCTATTTTGAAAACATTTTCTTGAAATGCTCATTCTTCCCCAAGAAACAAAGGAAATTTGTGCAGTTGAAGTAATTGACTTTGATACATTCAAACTTCTTCCTTTAAAACAGATTAAAAGATTTTAAATAGATATTAGTTCCATTCAATTTTTATTATTATTTATTTGTTTATTGTGAGAAGAAAACTGAGTAAAACACGCCTTTTTTCTGGAGTTATTTTTAAATTTCTAATATTATCTTAGTGACACGTTTCCTATTAAAAGTATTGGGAAGAAGCAAGAGCTGCTGCTAGGCATAGTGGTATGTGCTTGTAATCCTAGCATTTAGGAAGAAGAAGGATCAGGAGTTCAAAGCCAGCCTCAGTTACATCTTTGAGTTACAGGCCAGCCTGGGCTGCATAAGACCTTATCTCCAAAAGCAAAGCACAGCACAGTGGAGGTGGCTCAGCAGGTGGGGATGCCATGATGACTTGAATCCGGGTCCCAGAACTCACATGAACTGGCTCCTGCAAGTTCTCTTCCGATTTTCTGTATGTGTGTGTGCCATGCAAACACACATAATAAAGATGAGCTGAACAGCTGAGGTGCAGGTCAGTGGTGGGGCGCTCATCTAGCAGGTACGAGGCTCTGGTTTTTATCTGCAGCACCTGTAAAAGAGGATCTTAGCAGGAAGAGTCTACATACAAGGTCAGGGATGGTGGCAGTTTCCCACGCTGTGGGTCGTGACTGTATGGGTGCTTGCCTCACTATTTGTACATTTCTGCTTTTGTTCACTCTTCTTTGTATCTCAGGGTTTTTGTTGTTGTTGGATTTGGTTTTGTCTATGTATGATGTGTGTTCATGTTTGTGTGTGCACATGTTTGAGCAAATGAGTCATGGTGCACATGTGAAGGTCAAAGAGCAACCTCTAGTGTGGGTCCTCACCTTCCACCTTGTTTGAAACAGGGTCTCTTTATTCACTATTGTATACACCAGGTTAGCTGGCCCATAGGCTCTTGGGGAATTCTCTGTCAGCCTCCCATCTTTCTATAGGAGCATGAAGGTTACAGATGAATGGAGTGTTGTTGTACCTAACTTTACATGGGTTCTTGGGAGTCTAACTCGGATTCTCATCTTTGTGCAACAAAGGCTTTTCCTACTGAGATGTCTCCCTAGTGTTGTGTATGTGTTACATTGCATATTAAAAAATTTTTTTCTTCATTGCATGAATTTTTTATTTTTTACTTATTTAATTTTTTTGAGACAGGTTTTGCTATGTCAACCAGGCTGACCTTGAATTCACAGAGATCCATCTGTCTCTGCCTCCTGAGTGCTGGGACTAAAGGTGTGTGCCACCACACCTGGCCTCATTGCATGAACTTTTTAAAGTTAAAAACAAAAAAATAAAAAAAATCTGATCAATGCATGTAGTCAACTGTTTTTGGAATCATCAGTCTAGGGTCCCATGCTGCAGAGAAGTAGAGTCTAAGCCCATACCTCTCGTTTCCTCCCATCACATGTGCCATGCCATGTCTGGGTCTTTGGTCCTGGTGCCAGCTGGTGTACATTGGTAGCATGGAGGGTGGCCATGGCAAGGAAAGTGGTCTCAGACTTACTGTGTAGGCTGGTCAGGGCCTCCTGCAGCGTCTGCCAGTGCTGGTCCCAGTGGACTCAGGGTTGGTTACCTCCAAGTGCTCAAAATGGTGAAATGCTACAGCAGCTGGGTAGTGTGGCTTATGTATAGTGTATGCGTCTGCCCACCTGGGCTCCTGACACTGGTTTGCAGAAGGATGTTGGGCACCCTAATAGAGCACCTGAGGCTGATGGGGCTGTAATAGCTGTTGCTTGTCAACGTTCTGAAAGGTATTCTTAGAGTTAGGGAAGTTTCCAAAGATTTTATAAACTTTATTTTTTTGGGTTTTCGAGACAGGGTTTTCTGTGAAACAGTCCTGGCTGTACTGGAACTCACTTTGTAGACCAGGCTGGCCTTGAACTCTGAGATCCGCCTTTCTCTGCCTCCCGAGTACTGGGCTTAAAGGCATGCGCCACCACCAACTGGCGAGATTTTATAAACTTGAATGATCCAGCTGAAGTGAGCAATTCCTGAATTCTAAGTTTGACCACTGTTATAATTTTTACCAGACTTCCATCGTCCTAAAGGCCTTCCTTCATAGGCCTAGCTTCACCAGGACCACCCTTTGTACCCTGCAGCCTTTCAAGGGCTGGGTGTTATTTTGTACACAGAAGGCAGCCACTGATGTGAACCTGATTTGAAGGTGCTGAGCTATGCCTGAGGTCCCCTGGACACACACATATAGGTAGCCATTGGCCTGGGAGAAATCTGTGGACCCAGATGTGCAAAAAAGCCTGCAGAGCTGGGCACAGAGGTGGAACAGTGGGTTGCAAGATGTCTTCAGAAGGACATGTTCCCAATCTGAAGGGGAAAAGTATTTTTAACAAAATCTCAATCTTTCAGTGTTACCAATAAAGGACTCAGGAGCCAGATGCTGGCCTGGAAGCCTGCTTGCCCAGAGAGGCAGAGAAAGCACCCACCTGACCTTCCTTCTCAGCCTTCTCAAACCTCTCCTCAAACTCGGGTCCTTCCCTTCTATCTATCTCCTATGCATCTTCTCTACCCATCCTCCTGACCCTTGTTACTCTCTGGGTTTTTCTTGTTTACTTCCTGTCAGCTGGCTGTTTGCTTCCCCTCTTAATCTGTGGTTGACTTTATTTAATCCTGTTGACAATATTCAAGCAGAACGCTCTTGGATTAAAGGTGTGTGCTAGGGCTGAGCCACACCATAACTAGAAAGAGGTTTTTCCAATAAATAATGCAATCTCGGGGTTCACAGTGTGATCAAATGTCCTACACCAGAAAAGCCCATACCCCTGGCTTCTTGGGCCGACTACCCACTCTCGCAAGCATACCCCAGGAGTCCTGTGCATCCTCATATATCCTAACAACAACTGAAGCATTGTTGCCTACTGTGTTCCCTAAGCCACAGTCAGCTGGGAAGACCCTAGGACAGTCAGCATCATTGGCTGTCAGGAGTCTGTGTCGTACAGGCCTGAGTAATGAGGAGACTTCTTTTGGAGTGGGCAGAGGAATAGGGTTTAAGAGGGAATCTCTCTCTGTAGTCTTGGCTGTCCTACAAGCTGGCCTCTGATTCACAGAGATCCCCTTGCTGCTGCTGCTTGAGTGCTGGAATTAAAAGTGTGTTCCACCACATCTAGCAGTAATTCTTTTTGCAAAAGAAAGTATTGCTGGTTTTTATCTGATAAGACTAGAAAATAAAACTCGGGTTTGGTCCACCAAGAGTAAGAGTTCAAGGTCATTATTGGCTGTGAGACCTGTCTATAAGAAAGAAGGAGAGAGAAAAAGAGGCAAAGAAAATAATAAAGCTAATTGTCATCTACTATGCATGTGTTCTAGCCCATTTTCTATTTTCTTTCTCCAACTGTCCTGGAATTCGCTGTGTAGACCAGACTAACCTCAAACTCACAGAGAACTGCCTGCCTCTACCTCCTGAGTGCATTTCTATTTGTAAAATGTACCAGAAGCCATTTTTCCTCATGCAGTATAATCTGGGATTTTCTAATAGTCACATTCTTTTTTCCAGAATAGAAAACTGTCTTGCTTATTTTAGAAGCAGTCACATACAAAAGGAAAGTGGGGTGATAACTCAAACTGAGTACCAATTCTATGTTGTTTTATCTTATAAAGAGAAGAATCTTGCCCTAATTTGGTGTTTCTGCTTTTTCCATGAGAAGAGTAGGAACTGGGCTGTGGTTTTAACAATTCTCTATTAAATATGTATATTTAGTAAATAATGACCTTGGAGGGTTTTGTTGTTATTGTTAATTACACCCACCCACCTCTTATTTTTCTTTTTCCTTTTTGATTTTTCGAGACAGGGTTTCTCTGTGTAGCTTTTGAAGCCTGTCTTGGAACTCACTCTGTAGATCAGGCTGGCCTGGAACTCAGAGAGATTCACCTGCCTCTGCCTCCCGAGTGCTGGGTTTAAAGGTGCGCGCCACCAACACCCAGCAACGCCTTATACTTCTTTGCACTACTGGGGATTGAACCAGAAACTTAAAGTGGAGGGATTAGGGATATGACTCAGTTGGTAGAGTGTTGCCTGGCGTGTACAAAGCCCTGGGTTCCATTCTCACCACCACATAAACTGGTGTGGTAGTGTATGCTGATAATCCCAGCACTTGGGAAGTAGAGGCAGAAGGATCGGAAGTTCACGACCATTGTTGGTGTTCACTTCTTAAGAGGACAAAGCTAGGGGCTGGAGAGAGAGCTCAGAGCACTGGCTGCTCTTCCAGAGGTCCTAAGTTCAATTCCCAGCAACCACATGGTGGCTCACAACCATCCCTAATGAGATCTAGTGCCCTCTTCTGACCTGCGGGCATACATTCAGACAGAACACTGTATACATAACAAATAAATAAATCTTTAAAAAAAAAAAAAAAAGAGGTTAAAGCTAGCTAGCTTGTATTACATGAAGCTCTATCTCAAAAAAAAAAACAAAAAGTTTTCAAACCAACCTATGATGCCGAGACTTGGATTACTAAGGCAGAAGAATTACCGTGTATTCAAGGTTCAAGGTCATCCTGGGCTAAGTAACTAGATCTTGTCTCCAAACTTCTATCTACCCTCCCCTGTGCCCACCCCCCCCACAAAAAAGAGTTTTCAGGAGCATTTGCAAATTCTTCCAGATGTTTGATACGTTCAACTTTGCAGTAATACCACCTTAGAGACATTTATTTCTAGTTGATTAATGTGGAATAGAAATTAGGAGATTTGCAGAAGAAAATCAGGACACATTAATAACTCTAATTATCCTTTATTTCTGTTTCTTCTCTAGCATTACCAGGAGTGTGAGAAACCTGAGGTACGATGACGCTGCTTTCTATGTGAGCCCCTGTCTCTGGCACATTCCTGCTGTCCGACCCTCCGTGGGAGAAAAGCCAGGACTCTTCCTTTCCTCTCGGTGGCTTGGTGGCTTATGGGGTTGCCATGAGTTTAAAGACTTCTATTTAAAACCATCAAGATTTCTGTCTTTGTTTTTGATTTCCAGGAGTTAGTATCTGGAAATGTACAAAAGGAATGCTCATCTTCCTTTGACCAAGTTATCAAAGAGGTAAGGGATGAATTTACCCCTTGTTATTGAACCAGAATCATGAGTCCTGTGCTTCGAGGTCTGTTCCCAAGTGAAATTAAATCTTCAGTTTAAATTGAGCTTTTCTGTCTAATAACCCAAAAGAAGAACATGGCCTGCTGTTGGGAACAGATGCTGCTCACTCTATCGTTAAAACTGAGGCAATTTTTACCTTTGTTCTTTTTTATGTGTGTGAGTGTTTTGCTTGCTTATATGCCTGCCTGATACCTGCAGAAGCCACTGGAGTATTTTTTTATTTTTTTTTAGAATTGGTGTTACAGAAGGTTAGGAACTGCCATGTGGCTGCTGGGAGCAGAACCTAGGTCCTCTAGAACAGCAACCAGTGTTCTTAACTGAGCCATCTGTCCAGCCCCTGTTTCATTCTTTTTTTTTGTTGTTACTATTTATTTTAACAGTCTATTTTGTAGCCCAAGGTAGCCCTGAACTCACAATCCTTCTGCCTCAGCTTCCCCCTCCCCAGTGTGGAATTGTAGGGATATATCACCATGCCCAGCTTTGAAAGTCTTCCAGTGGTGTTGAAAACGTGTAGCAAGTAATTAAGTAATTTTTGTATTTTTATCTTTTAGTTATTTATTTTATTGAGACAGGGTTTGTCTGTATAGCCCTGGCTGTCCTGGAATTCTCTCTGTAGACCAGGCTGGCCTCAAACTCACAGAGATCTGCCTGCCTCTGCCTCCTGAGTGCTGGGATTAAAGGGTGCACTGTACCCAGCACACGGAAGTGTTGCATGTTGGTTCCTATTCTCCCAGAGAAGCTTTTGTGCTATTATTTTGAGGCTGAAATGCTCCCATCACTGTGTCTTATCCCCATGCTTGGCTTTCAGAACCTCTCTAGGCTGGAGATGTAGCTTAATGGTAGAGCTTTTCCAAAGCTTCAACATGGTTCATTTCCCATACTCACAGTAAAATTCAGATTCTTCGACCATAAAGATAATTTAGGATAGAAGCTCTGAGGCTCCACAGTTGAAGGGTTGTTGTCCCTAAGATAATGGTACATATCCAAAGCCTGACATCTGTCTAGTGTGGATACCAGTTTCTTTGAAACTCATCATCATGAGAGAAACTGAACAATCCAAATGCAGGCCTCGGCCAGACCTGCTGGCTCAGGCCTGTAATCCCGGTTATTTGGGGAGGTTGAAGCAGGAGGAGCAGAACGTGAAGGCCGGCTTGGTCTACAGAGTAAGTTCAAGGCCAGCCTGAACAACTTAGTGAGACAGACACTGTATGAAAAAGTAGTAAGGGGACGGGGATATAGCTTGTTAGTAGAGCACTTAGCTAGCATGTGTGAGGCCCCGGGTTTAATTCCCACTACTGCCAAATGAGTGAATGAGTCCAGCTCTGGTAAGTTATTCAAACAGGTAGCTCTCTCTCTTGTGCATATGATTGGGGGAAATAACAAGTCTCTTTTTCGGAGAGATTTCAAAAAGTTACTACAACAGAAGGTTGAAATCCATGAAAGGTATAATGAAATGGCAAAATACTACATTAATCCTATTAGAGCCAGCTTCCTGACACCAAAACGGGAAAGCTTTGGTGCCTAGTCCTTTGCCCTGTGTGAGTGTCCACCCACATTCCTTACAGGACTATGAGTGTCGTTTATCTAGATTTCAGAAGTGTGTTTTGATTGCTTCTAGACAACTCGAGAGATGATTGCTCGTTCTGCTGCTGCCCTCATTACACACCCCTTCCACGGTATGTTTGCAGTTGACAGCGTCAGATAATCTCATTTCTTTACTCTGTAGTTTGGTCTTGCTTTAGCTTGACATGGGCATTGACTGCAAGGCTCTGCCTTCATATTTGTTGTTCACCTGCCTTGCTGTCTTTTTCCAGATAGCAAAGTGTCTTCAGATGAAAAAAACTTGTAGGGTTATCAAAATAAATCTCAACATAGTTGGCGGGGTTTGCTTAATTTGTTTTACATTTATTTTGGCAGAGGAGGGGCAGGCATTCCACAGCATTGTGTGTAGAGGACAATTGGGAATCCATTTTCTCCTTCTACAACTTAGGTTCTGAGGATCAAACTGGGGTTGTGGGGCTCGTCAGCAGGCATCTTTACTGACTGTCTCACTGATTCTTAACAAAGTTCTTAAAACAGTCTTGTTTCTGTTCTACAGTGATCACTCTGAGATCTATGGTACAGTTCATTGGCAGAGAGTCCAAGTACTGGTAAGTGTTTGGGTTTCTTTTTATATGTATGTGTGTGTGCCTGCTTGTCTGTATATGCACCACATGCAGTCAGTGCTTATGAAGGCCAGAAGAGGTTCCAGAAGATCCCCTGGAACTGGAGTTAGAGACAGTTGTGAGCCACCATTTCTTTTTTTTTTTTTTTTTTTTTTTTTTTTTTTTTTTTTTTTTTTCTAGACAGGGTTTCTCTGTGTAGCTTTGGAGGCTGTCCTGGATCTCTCTCTGTAGACCAGGCTGGCCTCGAACTCACAGAGATCTGACTGGGTGAGCCACCATTTCAAGTGCTGGGACCTGAACCCGTGTCCTGCAAGAGCAGCAAGTGCTCTTAAGCACTGAGCATCGTTCCAGCCAAATGCACTCTGAACTCTGTGTGTGTGTGTGTGTGTGTGTGTGTGTGTGTGTGTGTGTGTGTGTGTGTGTGTTTTACACCCTCCATAGTCTTTTTGGTTTGGTTTGGTTTGGTTTTTTAAGACAGGGTTTCTCTGTGTAGCCTTTGCTGAGCTGGAACTCATTTTGTAGATCATGCTGGCCTCAGACTCAGAGAGATTATCTGCCTCTGCCTCCAAAGTGCTGAGATTAAAGGCATGCACTACCATCCTTCAGCTACCCCTTCATAGTTAGTCGCTTCACTTTTTTTTTTAAATGTGTATGGGTGTTTTGCCTTCTTGTATATCTGTGCACCTCATGCATGTCTAGTGCCTACAGAAGCCAGAAGACAACATCCGATCCCTTGAGACTTGAGTTAGACAGAAGGTTGTGAGCTACCATGTGGGTGCTGGGAATTGAGTCCAGGTCCTCTGGAAGAGAGCAGCCAATGCTCTTAACAACTGAGCCATCTCTCCAACCCCAATAGCTTCATTTTCTAATGGAATTTAACTACTTTACAAGAGTGACCTAGTGCTAGAAAGTTGTGAGGAAAGGGAGTTATAAATTGACTTTGTCAGAAGTGATTATTAGCCAGGTCTTATGGATTATACCTGTGGTCTCAGGTCACTTTGGGAGGTGCAGACAGGAGTTCAGGGTCAGCCTCAACTTAATTCAATTTATACCGCCTTGGGCTAAATGAAACCCTGTTTGGGGTTGTGGTGGTGGTGAAATAATCCCCTTCTCAAAGCTCAAGTGACTCTCTGTCCTTTACCTTTCGTCATTGCTTAGCGGGCTGTGTGACTCCATATTAACCATCTACCGGGAAGAAGGCGTCGTAGGATTCTTTGCGTGAGTAAATGTTGGGTTTTCCTGTAAGTGATTTTTGTGTTAGTAGAAAAGCTTTCTTGAAAATAAGGGTAATGAGTCTTTGTTTAATTTTGAGAAAAAACTGTTCTCTCAGGGTTTACTTTATGTTAAGCTGTTTACAGACTTACTCAGTTTAATTTCTCATTGTAAAGATCCCACACCTTTGCTTTTTTTCCCCCCTAGATATTTTATGTGCTTGAAATAAGGACTTGGTTTTGTTGTTGTTGTTTTGTTTTGTTTTTTTTTAAAGCAAGGTCTCTTATAGCCCAGACTGACTTCAAACTGGATGAGGATGACTTTGAACTCTTGATCCTCCTGCACCTCTACCTCTGGGTGCATGTGTGGAGGTCAGGGGACAACTTGAGGGAATCAATTTTCTTTCCATGCCTGGCTTCCAGGAGTTGAACTTGGCGGTCAGGCACTGTGACAAGAGAGAGCCCTTACTTGCAGAGCCATTGGCCCTGGCCTGGCTGTTTTGTTTGCTTTGTTTTGTTTTTGAGATAGTGTCTCAAGCTCACAGAGATCTACCTGCCTCTGCCTCCCAAGTGCTGGGATCAAAGGTATTCAACACCATGTCTAATTTGTTTGCTTTTTTAAATAAATAATTTGAGGTTCAAACCTTTATAATAAGTTCCTTTACAATACAGTTAGTAAAATGAGAATACTAATTTTTGAAAAGCAGAAAAAACATAACATATTTTTTTTTACCCTAAAATAATGCAAGGCTTGACTTTGAAAGAGTTTAAACTACTGTACTTAACTAACAGAAATTTACTGTGGGCAGTGAAATGGTCCTTTACATTTTCAGTGTCTCTGTGATTGATGGATGCTAGAAATCAAATACAAGTCTTTTGCACATGCTCTACCACTTAGCTATACTAGTAGCCCCATATTCCTTTTTCTTTTCTTTTCTTTTTTATTGTTATTTTATAGGAATGGATGTTTTGGTTGCATGTATGTGCTGAGGTCACCATGTGTGGAAGCCAGAACATGGTGTCAGAGCCCCTGGAACTGGAATCAGATGTGGTTGTGAGCCACCATGGAGCTGCTAGGAATAGAACCTGGGTCCTCTGGATGAGCCAACTCTCCAGCCCCTAAATTTATTTATTTTTTTAGTATCATAAGTATTCTGACATATAGAAGGGACAGTTTATCATTTATTTTTATTTATTATTATTTCTCAGAAGAGAAAATCAGATCCTTACAGGCAGTTGTGAGCTACCATGTAGGGACTGGGAGCTAAACTAGGGTCTTAGGCAAATGTAGGTGGACTTTTCTTTCCCATCTGCCAGTTCCCAGAAACCTAACACGGAGACTTAATATTCATTATAAATGCTCGGCCAATAGCATAGTTCAGGCTTATTACTAGCTAGCTCTTACAACTTAAATTAACTCATTTCTGTCAGTCTACATTCTGCCACATGATGTTACCTCTCTTTCATCTTGCACCTCCTGTTTCCTCCCTGTGTCTCCATGGCGACTCCTCTGACTCCGCCCTCTTCTTCCCAGCAGTCTCTCTGCTCCTAAAATCCTGCCTAGCCAATCAGCCTTTTATTAACAATGAGAGCAACACATTTCGAAAGTGTACAGAAGGATTATTCCACAGCAAGCAAAAGCAGTAGGTGCTCTGAACCACTGAGCCATCTCTCTAGCCCCAGTCTCATTTTAAAAAAGCATTCATGAGCCTACATGAGAAACTTGTGTTTCCTGGGTTTGAGTGACCTGGTTTGAATAACACTGGGAATATTCCCTTGCAGATGGAAGAACAGAGTTTGAATGCCAGTTCTGTTACTTTTTTAAAGACAGTTTCTTTCATATGCTCCAGTCTGGCCTGGAACTCTGTGTAGAGCAAAGGAGTACCTTGAACTCCTGCACTGCCTGCCTCTGTCTACTGGATTGCTGGAGTTACAAGCGTGGACCACTACACCCAGTTTGTATAGTACTGGGGAATCAAACTTAGGGTCTCATGCTTCAAGCACTCCTATCAACTGAGCTATGTCCCTAGCCTCTGGAAACATGCTTTTGATATCTCTCTGTCTGTGCTTGGATCATTTTCACTATGTTATGTTTTTGTTTTTCCCCCCCTCGTATCAAATAGTTTAGTAAAACTGTGTTAAGTCTCCTCTCAGAGCACCTCGCAGATCTTTGGCTGTCCCTGTTATGGTGACTAATAAAGTGAGCCGTTGGCTGTAGTTCACAGAGGGTTGTAGTGACCTGTATTCTAAAAGTGGGAACAAAAGTCATTACAGGTTGGCATTAGTACAGCTGTTGACCAGACTGAACTTGGAATGAGGGCTACATTTTGGGGTTTGATGCCCGTTCAGTTCCCTAGAATGTTTTTAAAGCTCTTAACTTTTGAGAAGTTTTTGTATTGTACTGAGTAGACCATCTGTTTACTGATCATAGTTTCTTGCTGCTTACTATGTCTTCATGTAGGGGTCTAATTCCTCGCCTCCTAGGTGACATCATTTCCTTGTGGCTCTGTAACTCACTGGCCTATCTCATCAATACCTATGCACTGGACAGTGGGGTAGGTTATGACCTTGGTAAGATATGCTGGTGAGGGCTTTCTTTGTATTCACCTAGCCGCCATTTTAGCTGTAAGATGGCAGTTGGTTATATACCAGACAGAACATTATACAGTAAAAATTATCATTTGAGTTTTTAAAAGCTGGTGGTATGATCATGCTATTTCCTATAGAGAATCACCTAGAAATTCTTTCGGGTCTGATTGAGTGTGCCCATGGACACGGGGCTTTGAGGGACTTTTTTGTTTGTTTTTGTTTTTTGGTGCCTAATTTTAGATCACACAATACAAAGAGAATAGCCATTTGGTATGTTTCCACATCTCCTGGGGTATTGAAGGGGCTCCTAGAAATCTTAGCCCCAAAGGTTTTGAAGGTGTGAGTTATCTTTTGTATATAGTGTAAACAAGACTTCGCACATCACCCATCACATTTTCTTTTGTTTTTCAAATATTGAGGCTAGTACATTTCTTCCTACATCATCCTAATGTGGTAGGAACTTGTCAGTAGTGATTGATGAGGACAATCAATTTGGAAATCTTTTTTTTTTTTTAATTTTTTAAGATTTACTTATTTTATGTATATGAGTGCTCTATCTGCATACACACCTACATGCCAGAAGAGAGCATCAGATCCCATTATAGATGGCTGTGAACCACCATGTGGTTACTGGGAACTGAACTCAGGACTTCTAGAAGAGTTGCCAGTGCTCTTAACTGCTTAGCCATCTCTCCAGCCTCTGGAAATCTTTTGAAAGGATCTCACCATGACAGTCATTTTGACTGCCAGTCTTTTTGTTAAGATGGAGTCCAGCTACGCAGCCCTGGCTTGCCTTGGGATCCACTTGTATCTGTCTCTCAAGGGCTAGGTGTAAGGCACGCACCACCACACCCAGCCTTGACTGCCACATCTTATATTCATCGTAGATACTTGTTTTTATTCTTAAGCTTCATTTCCATGCTGTCAGGCTGATAATTTAGAAAGAGAGTGTACTGGTATGCTCGTGAGTTTTAACTTACTATCTGCTTTGTGTATGATTCATTCTGATAGAGGCTCTTTTCCTATTTTAGGTCTCTACCATGAATGAAATGAAAAGTTATTCCCAAGCTGTCACAGGAGTGAGTTTCTTAATCCTCTTAATCTTCTAGGAATAGTTGGTTGTGTTTTGTTTTTTGTTTTTTTCTTTTAAATCTGGCCTGTTTGATAACTGTTTTAAAGCTGCTAGGTGTCTCCCTGGAAATCTCCATCAAATCATTATTCTTTGTCAGAGGTAATAATATAGTTGCTACTCAAAGCAACATTTACCCCATGTGGTTTTTCATGTTACTCAGCTTTCCCAGGGGAGTGGAGCAGCCATACATTGTGTCCTTCATTTCCCACTTAGAGAATGGAACCCTTTGTACTTAGACATCTATTTTGGGTTGTGGGAACTATGCTTATGCCACGGCATGCATGTAGATGGAGGTAAGAAGACTTTTGGAAGTCAGTTCTCTCCTTCCACTATGTTGGTGCTGAGGCTTGAACTCAGGTCGTCAATGTTGACAACTTTTGCTGTAAGGCTATCTCACCTGCCTTGGAAACTGCGTCAGCCTCCCATGTAGTTGAGATGGCCAGCACTCATCATTACACCAGCTAACAATGGGCCTTCTGAAGTAGTTCCCACTGTCTTTAAGAGGGTGCTCATATTCTCAGGGCTACTTTGAAACGCTCCATTTGTATTAGTTTAAAACTTTTTCTCCTAAGTAAGTAGTCTACTTTTATTTGAATGAGACCTCAATTCTAAGATAAGAACAATCTCCTGGCCTTTTGATAAATTTTGGATATAGAAGTATATTGTGGCAATAGAGGAGCCTCTGGGCTCAAAACTATGTCGAGGCATTCCAAGGTTGCCGAGGATGCAGGACTGCTGTTGGAATGTTTGGGCATTATAGCACTAGGCCTTCGGGGAGAGGGGGGTGATGAAGATTGAGAATGGTGTGACAACTCAGCTGTCTTCTTGCTGTTTTGCAGTTCTTTGCCAGTATGTTGACATATCCCTTTGTGCTTGTATCTAATCTCATGGCTGTCAACAACTGTGGGTAAGTACTTCCTGGTTTTTGGCTGGTGCATGTGCAAGCCAGAAGTTCATGTGTTTGGTGTTTTCCCCGATGGCTCTCTATTTTATTTACAGAAGTAGGGTGTCTCACTGAACCCAGAGCTCACCAATTCAGCTGGTCTAGTTAGACAACTTGCCATGGGGATCATCTGCCTGTGCCTACTAAGTGCGGATTATAGGGGGTGTACACTATGCAATCTGAACTGTTGAGTGGGTGCAGGGTATCCAAACCCTAATTCTAGGGCTTGCACAGCCAGTGTTTCACCCACCGAGCCTTCTCCCCAGCCTTGTATCTGTGTTGATTTTGCAGTCATGGAGGACTGAAACCAAGGCCTCACATGTGCTAGGCATATATAGTCTACCAGCTAGTTGCAGCCCCAGTCCCCCTACGTGGCATTCCTTGTCTTGGTCATCTGCCCCACCCCCATATGACTGGAGTTATAGATGGTTGTGAGCCACCATGTGGAGGCTGGGAATCAAAGCTGGGTCCTCTGCAGCAAGTGCTCTTAACTGATGAGCCATCTCTCCACCCCTAAGATTTTATTACTAATTATGTGTGTGTGCCTGTCTGTGTAGGGGTTGTGTAAATGAGTGCAAGTGCCCAAGGAGGCCAGAAGAGAGTCAGATCCCCTAGGGCTGGAGTTACAGGTGATTGTAAGCCATCTAAAATGGGTGCTGGGAACTGAACCCAGGTCCTCTGGAAGAGCAGTATGTACTCCTAACCACTGAACCATCTCTCTAGCCATCAGTTTCTGTTTTTAAGCAGCTACCTCATATCTTTCTGGGGTATAAAAACTACATAAAATTCCTAAAGTGTGTATGTGTATATAGAAATATACATTGATTGCATTGTGTGTTTGTGTGGGGGGTAGATGTGTGTACATGTGGAGGCCAGAGATCAACCTCAAATGTCATTATTCTTCAGGTGCCATCTACCTTGTTTTTTAGATAAGCTCTCTCATTAGTTAGCTTAGAACTCTCAAATTCATACAGATTGGCTGGCCAGTGAGCCCCAGGGAGTTGCCTGTCTCCACCTGTCTAGCACTGGCCTATGTTAGAGAACACCATTGATTTCCAATTTCCAGGTGTCAAGTGGCTCTGCCACATTAGGCAAAAATTTTGCTTCTTGAATTAACTCAAAACTGTTCCATAGTCATCCATGGTAGCGTGTACCTTAATTCTAACACTTGGGAGGTGGAGGCAGGAAGTCAGGTATTCAAAGCTAAGCTTAGATGCACAGAAAGTTGAAGGCCATGGGGGCTCCATGAGATCCTGTGTACCAGGCTGGAGAAATAGCTCAGCAGGTAAGAGCACACTGCTCTTCCGGAGGACTACGTCTGGTGGCTCATCACTGCCTGTAACTCCAGCTCCAGGGGACCTAATGCCCTGTCCTAGTCTCTGTGGCACTCCCACACAAATGTGCACAAACATCAATATAACACCTATATATATAAAACCTTACAAAAGAAAACCTAAAACGTTTCTAACTTAATAACTGATTTAATATGTCATTTAGACATGTTATTGTTTTCAAACAAATATTGAAATAGCTATATGGAATTTTTAGCTAAGTTTGACTATCATATTTGTTTTCTGATTTTTAGAACAGTCTCCATGTTTTAGCCTAGCACATACTTTAAAATGAGTTAAATACCTAGTCCTAGTGATGAGCATCTTTAACCCTAACACTCAGGAGACAGAGCAAGTAGATTTCTGAGTTTGAGGCCAGCTAAGGTCAGCTAGACACTGTAACTCCAGATCCACGGGCTCTGGGGTCCCCTTCTGACCTCCTCAGACACCTCGCAAGCACATGGTGCACCGACATTTATGTAGACAAAACAAGCATAATTTTTTTTTAAAAAAAGTTAGTTAAAGAGGAAGTGATTATGGATTATATTCAGGTAGAAAAGTGTGGTCAGCAGTGTGGTTATATCTGTTATCATAGCTAGATTCCTTATGAGGAGAGTTCATTTAAAAATCCCTTTTTACTGATGCTTAGTCATATAGTTGTTCATTTAGTCACTAATAGAAAATCTAAATGTACCACAAAATAAAACCAAGCCGTGATTCTGGGAAAGAGTTCACTAGGGATGAGGGGGGTATTGATAGAGATGGAAGAGAAATAAGAGGTGTGTGGGAGCCAGGCAATGGTGGCACACGCCTTAAATCCTAGTACTTGGGAAGCAGAGACAGGTGAATCTCTGTGAGTTCAAGGCCAGCCTAGTCTGCAGAGCTAGTTCCAGGACAGAAAAACCTTGTCTTGAAAAAATTAAAAAAAAAAAGTGGGGGAGAGGATGTACATGAATGAAATTGTCATATAACAAAATCAAGTTTCTGTTTGTCTGTTGATTTGAAACCTAACTATAGGATGGTTGGTGTTCATCTGGTTCATGCTGGAAATTTTTGCCAAAAAGTCTCTTGAAAATGTTTGTAAGTAACCAATCTTTTCAATTTCAGGCTTGCTGGTGGATCTCCTCCTTACTCCCCAATATATACTTCTTGGATAGATTGCTGGTGCATGCTACAAAAAGCGGTATTTTTATCTCTCATTTTGTTTTTGTTCTCTTAAATAATGTGCCTTGAATCCTGATACTAACTCATTCTTTAACTACTAATCAATGTAACCTTTACAGTGTTGTGTATGTCCCTCGGGCATAATAGCACAACGTGCTACTTAGCAATCACCCACTGGAGTGAAGAAGGACAAATCCCTGCTTGTTAACACAAGCCGTTTGGGTGATTGAAGGTACAGATAGGCCCAGATAGATACTTCTCCTGGTTATTGAAGTAATAGCCTCATTTCAAACTTGCCTTTCTTTGGGTGCTGGGGATTGAACCCAGGACTTCATGCACACAGACTAAACACATGCTCTTTGCACTGAACTCAGCCCGGCAAACTTGCCTTTCTGTAACTCCTCAGAACCTCTTAGACACTCTTTTCCCACAGTTAGATGTGAAGACTGAAAAGAAGACATCACTTACTTTATTGGACAAAATGTTGTCAACATGATAGTCCTGACAGCACTAGTTACTTGCTTTCTGTTTGTTAGTAGATGACTTTGTCAGGGTTTATCATTGACCGAACACTTTTGATCCATCCAGACGAAGTTGTGTGAGGAACTGAGATAATGGATGGGCTGTCTTGACTTTAGCCTGGGATCACTTAAAACGGCCATCAGTTTGCAGATGGTCTTGAGTGGCAAGCCTTTTTTAAAGGGTTTCAGAGAAAGGCCATAAAGAAGCTCTTTGTTGCATTACTTCACAGAGCCCAGGATACAGATGAGAAAAGCTTTGTTCACAGAACTGGGGCTCCCCCAGACTGGACTCTGGATGAAAAGGTCCAGTTGTTGCTATGGTTACTTTTGCTCACTTTCATGCCAGCTGAATCCAAGCTAGAATCTTTGAATGAGTTTAATATAAACTTACCATGAATGTTGTGGTTTCCTTCTGAGTTTTATACCCCTTTCTTGTCTTAATTTGTTGATTATTATTATTATTTTGTCTTACTTTTGCTTTCTGGTGTGCTGAAACCCACACCAGAAAGCAAAAACAAGACAAAATAATAATAGTCAAACCCCGAGCCTTCTAAATAATAGGCAAGAGCTCTGACGCTGCTGCATTCCAGTAACCGATTTTCCGTTTCCTTTTGTGGTGTTGCCCATGTGTGGGAAACTCTTCCCCACTGAGCTGCATCCCCAGCTCTTCTCCAGCCCCGATCGACTGTTTTATAGGACAGTCTGCTGGTGTGGTCCCGTTTCTAACCAGTGCCCTCCCTGCTCTAGGAGGGAAGAAGGGAGGAAATGGATTAAGTTGCCGGACAAACCTTAGCTGGGAAACCATTGATCCTGTATGTGCCTAGGAAAAGGGCAAGAAAACTGTCTTAGTCATCTGCAGTGCTATGAGATAACCTGCTGAGTTTGCCGTGACAGTCTCAGAATAGCCCTCTGAAGGTGGGGGGTGCGATTTTCTACACTGCTGTTTCACATAGGAACAAGTGGGTGCTAAGAAGAGCTTAATATGCAGGGCAGTGATGGCACACGCCTTTAATCCCTGCACTTGGGAGGCTGAGGCAGGCCGATCTCTGAGTTCAAGGCCAGCCTGGTCTACATAGTGAGTTCTAGGACAAGCCAGGACTACACAGTGAAACCCTGTCTCAAAAAAAAAAAAAGGAGCTTAATGAAAGTTCTATACCACAGAGTCACTCATCCTCCTGCTGGGTCCTGTCCTAGTCATTTCAGCCACATCTAGAAATGTGTCCCTTTGAGTACTAATTTGGATTGGCCACCTTCATGTTCATGCTAGACTTTATTTCTTTCTTTCTTTTTTTTTTTTTTTTCTTTTTTCTTTTCCAGGGAAATATGAGCCGAGGAAACAGCTTGTTTTTCCGGAAGGTTCCCTTTGGGAAGACTTACTGTTGTGACCTGAGGATGTTAATTTGAAGATGTGGAGCAGGGACAGTGACATTTCTATAGTCCCATTGCACAGAATTATGGGAGAGAATGTTGATTTCTATACAGTGTGGCGCGCTTTTTTTAATAATCATTTAATCTTGGGAAAATGGAGGTGATTGGTGTCTGCCTTTTTTGTTCTTTTTCCTAGTACAACATCATTTACCACTGGTATTCCCCGTTAGTTATTTGAAATGGGACATTTTTTTCTCCAAATTCTTGTTTTAAACAGAAAATAGAAGTATTTTCCTAAAGGAACAAGTAGGTTGTAATGTAGATTTGAGTCTCAGGTTAGGGCTTTGTCAAATGAAGAATAGAATCCCAATAAGAAGGAAATCATTCTATAAAAGCTGAGAAAATGAAGAAGGCATGCCATGTGGGAGTTTATGAATTACCTTGAGTAGATAGATGCTAGAAAGTCAGCAGCAACCACCAGTCTACCTCCCACCGTGCTTCCAAGCAGTTGACCATCTTATCTCAGTGCTGCTGAGTTACTGTAGAAGATTTCTGCAGAGGTCTCCATGCCTTCTGTACTCTAGAAGAGAAAATTGTCAACACCGACAAAGAAAAAGGACAGTTACAGAGGCTTAAGCAAGATTTGGAAAGGAAATATGATGGCCTTTCACTCCAAAGAAGCTCTTGATTTCCTGTCACACAAGAAGCAAATACTGCAGCACAGTACCCTAAGTGCTTAGTACCCACCAGCCCCTAAGGTCTGTCTTCACTGCGGTCCATTGCATACAAGCTTCTGCTCCTAAGTGTTTGTTTCCCTTTTGTTACTGCAGAAGGTGAGTCGTTTGGTTTTCATTTCTGATGACACCGTTGGAAAGTGTATTTATAACTCCTTCTCTGGTAATGTGGACCAAAGTCCACGGGGTTCCTAGGATATATTGCCCAGCTCGCATGTCACACCCTCAGTTAGGCATGTTAAAAACACTCACTGGAGGAAACTTCTCAACTCAAGCATAAAGCTCCTATTTACTCAGGCCTTTTAACAGCAGGTTAAATGCTCCTAAGATGAGAAAGCCTAAACTGTCGCTTGGTTAAGTAATTCACTGGTACTTTGCCAAATGAGTGAGCACTGAAATTGCTGCTTTTAGACTTCTATCAATGCGGCAGAGTCCATGATGGTAGGTAGTGTGAGCATGCAGGGTCTTCTCCCGCTCAGGGTTTAGGGATACAACCTGAAGCTCATGAGTAGCTTAGCTTGAAATGTCTGTCAAAAGTACTTTGTCTCAAAAGTAATGTAAATTTTATATTCTATTCAATATTACCTGCATCTGTTTTAATATAAAAAGTGTTTTTGCATTACCTACTCTTTTCTCCCAAAAAACCCGTCAAGTAAAGATGATCTAGGAAAATGCACCATGTTTCTCCTGTGACTTCTGTGCACATCCACACCGGCTCTTGTGAGAACTTGTCTGTGGAGAACCAGTCCACCACCAGAGGGCAGCAGGACTTTGGTCTTGCCTTGCCTGTTGACCTGCTGAATTCACCATGGTCTAGGGTTTCTAGTGAAAATGGAAGTCTCCATTATAGGGCTGAGGAGTAATTGTGGTGGGCAATTACCTAACTGGAACAAGTGCCTAGGTTTCTATGTCCAGGATCTTAAAAATGGAGGCAGTGATACAAACCTGTAGTCCCAACACCTGGGCAGTACAGTCAGGAAGGTCAGGAGTTCACAGATTACCCTGTTACATGGCAAGTATAAGGCTAACCTAGACTACATATAAAATACTATCTCAAAAAACAAATACTAGCCGGGTGGTGGTGGCACACGCCTTTAATCCCAGCACTCAGGAGGCAGAGGCAAGCGGATCTCTGAGTTTGAGGCCAGCCTGGTCTACAAAGTGAGATCCAGGACTGACACCAAAACTACACAGAGAAACTCTGTCTCGAAAAAAATGCTAGCTGGGGGTGGTGGCACATGCCTTTAATCCCAGCACTTGGAAGGCAGAGGCAGATGGATCTACATAGTGAGCTGAAAGCCAACCAAGGTTCCATAGTGAGACCATATCAAAAAACACAGAAGAACTAATTCAGTCATTTCAGTCCTGCTGAATTCAGCTGTGGGTTCAGTTGGGAATCCTATAATCCCTTTGGCCTGTCATAAAATGTATGGTTAGCAGGGCATGGTTGCTTGCACCTATAACCCTGACGATTTGGGAGATTGAAGCAGAGCAAATCAAAAGCTTTGAGGGTAGCCTGGGTTACATAGACCCTGCCTAAAATAAAGTCATGATGCCTGGTGCATGAAAAGCCAACACTCAAAAGGCTGAGGCAGGAGAATTGCGATGAGTTCTGGACCCTAACACTATCTCAGAAAACAACCATTTCGATAGCCTGAAGTCCTCTGTTATGAGACAAGCTCTACAGCTTAGATTGTCTTTGACTCTGTGATCTTTCCGTCTCTGTCTCCCAGGTCTGAAATCACAGGCACAGGCCAGAGCTGGCTCAGCATGACCTGGTTTAGTTTAGCTGAGACAGGGTTTTGCTATGTAGCCCAGGCTGTCCTTAGCCTCCCATTTGCTGGGATTCCAAGTATGGAACCACCGGGCTCAGCTCCTCATTGGGCTTTCTAGAGAAACTAGCTGGAATAGGCTGAAGAGACCTCAGCAGTTAAGATTCACTATTGCTGAATTCACTTAGCAGCACTCCAATTGGGCAACTCCCAACTCTCTGTTATTCCAGCTCCAGAGGGCCCAACACTTTTCTTCTGGCCTCTGTGAACACCTGCACTCACATACACCTACACATAATTTAAAATACATCTTTAAAAGAGAAATGGGCCATATGTGGTGGTGCACACTTATAATCCCAGCACTCTGGAGGCAGAGGCAGGTGGATCTCTTGGTTTGAGGCCTGCCTTGTCTACATAGTTCCAGGACAGCCAGAGCTGTGAGTAATAGCCTATCTCAAAACCAAAAGTGGGGGTGCTTATATTTGTTATAAGCCTACTCAGCTGAGTTTGATCCTGGAGGCCAACATGACAGGAGAGAAAACTGCAAGCTGTCTGCCGACTCCCACACATCATGGCATCCACACGGACATACACAAAAATAGTTGATTGGAAAACAGCTGGCTGGGTAACAGTAAATGGTGAGTTTAAGGGACTGAAGCAGGTGACTGGGCAGGAAGAGCAACCAATACTGAGAGGCTACAGCTGCCAAACTTGCCTGTCAGTACTGCACTTAAAGTGAGGTTCAGGTGAGCCCAACCTGGAGTTTCAGAGCTGGAGTCAGACGGTCTCAGCCTCCAAGGTGGTTTTGGTTTGACGTGATTATGATGTGTTGAAAAAAAAAAAAGTAAACCAAATATGGCGTGATCTAACCCTCTGAGACAGAAACCTGCGTTTGCAGTCACCAAGCCAGAGGAAGCCTGTCAGCAGAGCCGGAGCATTTTAGAGCTCTTGCTTCCACGGAACAATTGGCAGTAGGCATTGGGCCTGTTGTAGATTGTCTCAGTGGCTTGTGTAAGTGAGACAGCGACTTACACAGCAGTTAGAGGTATCCACGGGCCTGATACGTTTACACCATAGCTTGCGACAAAGGTCCTATTGTGTGCCTTTGCTGGCCTGAACTCACTCCATAGAGGAGACTGGCCTTGAACCTGCAGAGATCCACCTGCCTCTGCTTCCTGAATACTAGGATTAAAGACATGCAGCACTGTGCCTGGATCTTTAAAAAAACACTTTAGTTTGGAGCTGGGTGGATGACTCAGTCAGTAAGAAGACTTGCAGCACTGAAGAGGTTCAGAACTGTAACTAGTTCCAGGGGACCTGACACCCTCTTCTGGGTGTCCGGCACACATGCTCTTACGTGTGCCTCATACACATTTAAAAAAAGGGGGGTGGGTAGAGCAATGGCTCAGTGGTTAAAAGTAATGGGTTCTCTTCTGGATGGCCTGGTTGGATTCCCAGCACCCACATGACAGTTCACAACCATCTGTAACTCTAGTCCCATGGGAGCTGGCACCCTTTTCTGGCTTCTTGAGGCCACTGCATTCATATGGTGTACAGATGTATATGCAAGCAAAACACCTATATGCACAAAATTTTTAAATTAAGAAAAAATTAATTTGAGACAGATCCTCCTGTGGCTTGCACTGGCAAGTGTGACTTTGAACTGTGATCCTCCTACCTCTACCTGGACTATAGGTGTTTGGCTATACCCGCTGGATAGTAGCATTTCTTTATGTTTGTTGTTATTTTAAGATCTCTCTCTCCCCCCCCCCCTTCTGGTGGTGGCACACATCTTTAATCCCAGCACTCCGGAGGCAGAGGCAGGCGGGTCTCTGTGAGTTCGAGGCCAGCCTGGTCTACAGTGATTTCCAGGACAGCCAGGGCTACACAGAGAAACCCTGTCTCCAAAAAAAAAAAAATTCTCTCTCTCTCTCTCTCTCTCTCTCTCTCTCTCTCTCTCCCTGTCTCCTCTCTCCTCCCATGTGTGTGCGCGCATGTATACACATGAGCTCATGCCAGTATGTGTGTGTGTGTGTACACATGAGCTCATGCCAGTGTCTGTGTGTGTGTACACATGAGCTCATGCCAGTGTGTGTGTGTGTGTGTGTGTGTATACACATGAGCTCATGCCAGTGTCTGTGTGTGTGTGTACACATGGGCTCATGCCTGTGTGTGTGTGTGTGTGTATACATGAGCTCATGTCAGTGTGTGTGTGTGTGTGTGTGTGTGTGTGTGTATACACATGAGCTCGTGCCAGTGTGTGTGTGTGTGTGTGTGTGTGTACACATGAGCTCATCCCAGCACATGCAAGTGCAGGTTGTGGACAGCCTGCAGAAGTTGGTTCTCTTCTTCCATCATGTGGGCTCCAGGGACACAGTGACAGCAGGAGTCCTTGCTTCCTGACCCATCTCACTGGCCCTGGAGACAGATGCTCTTCTTTTTTTTTTTTTTTTTTTTTGGTTTTTCAAGACAGGGTTTCTCTGTGTAGCTTTGCGCCTTTCCTGGGACTCACTTGGTAGTCCAGGCTGGCCT